AAAAAAAAAAAATTGTAGAAAAAAAAAAGATGTCAAATTTTAAAACTCTCTAGCTCAAGAAAAGTCAAGATTTGTTATTGTTTGGCAACCTCTCTCTGACTTCTGAATTTCCTTTCTATTTTAGTCTCAAAACAGTTTCAGAAGCTTTGTGAAATGCCCAAGCTTGGGTGATATCTTATAACTTATATGTATTTTCTCCATTACATAGAAAAAAAAAGTTAAAAAATTTTGAAGCACAAATTGGGAATCATAATTAAACATATCTTCTTTCTGTCAAAAGTCAACAACAGGAAAATGAAGAAAATCGTGTGTGACGTGCCAAAGATTCTCGCCACTCAAATAAAACTATATATATCGCGCGTTGTATGAATTTTCATACGAAAACCCATGTTCAGTTCAAAAAAAGTTGTGACAAAAACATATGGCAAATAGAGAAAATAGATTACCAAGTTTATGTAGATTGAGCACAAATAAAGAAAGTTGATCTGTAGACGAAATCAACACTTTGCTGTCTGTTTTTTTTTTATCTAGATGATACAAAAGCTTTTTAACATTCTGGAGGAGAAAATTCGAATGAGTACGTCAAATGACCCAGTAAGGTTGCTTATGTGTTAATGAGTAGCATTTAACATAAGAATTCAATTGTATGTTCCAAAAGACTTAGACAATGAACTGATTTCAAACTTCCTTCAGAGCAAGTGAAAATTTTCACAAAGTGGTTATTTTACGTTTAATATCAAAGTAGTTGCATCTCTCTCAACAAGAGTAAGTTAGCCATTGTAGAGTTTGTGACCCTCTGCCCCTAATTTATCCACACATTATCCACATACCTCACATCTTCCTCACTAACTTTTAAGTTTATTGGTGTCCAGATGTTGCATTTAGGGCGCTTACCCCAATTAATGTTTCCACACCTGGATAAACAATTGGCAAACTAAGTAGAGAGCCACAATATTGATATTAGCATGAAATGAAATAAATGTAGAGAGACCTTGACCACCACTACATACAATAAATAGCAAATAAATTTGAACCACGACAACATGAACATCAAAAGGAGAAGCAAATTAAATTAACGGGACAATAGCACTATGACAAGAAACTTTATAGGAATAAGCAACAACCTTTTTGCATTGCCATGAAAGAAAGCATGTAACAGAAACGAAAAAGACCACACACTTGGGACTGTAAACAACAGACACATTATATGAATTACAATAATATATATTGGCCAGTCACATACATAAACAAAAGCAAATACACTTACTCTTACTACAATAGCTAAACAAAAGAATTATTAGTTAAACCCCTACAGTCAACTACACTATCAAGTTTATTATACAAGAGCATCATAACAGATGCATTTCATGTTTCAAAAAGTATACACGTCCAAAATTGCAAATACACCGGCACACAACACTACAGATGGATGTGAAGATAAATGGCCAAACTTTCAAAGTCTTGACCCGTGGCTATCGAGGGTTGGGATATTCTATTTATGAACAGACCTAAACAGGTTCTTTTTCAGTTAAACTAAAGATGCAAGAATTAGATTATGCTTACTCCAGAACAAACTTTCTAAGATATGATGAAAAACAAAGATCGGACAAAAAGAAAAAAACAATTACAAGCAGCCTTACCTTAAGTACGACAATAGTACAAAAGTTTTCAGCCAGCATACTCTCATCGGTCCCAAAAGGCAAGTTACATACAGAAACAACCCATTTGTACCGAAAAATGTGCCACAATAATGCTCAATTTCAAGAAACGCCGCCACAAATGCAAAGTCTAAAGGCCACAATCACTATTTCGACTGTCTAGCTTATTAGGAAACGAAAAGAAGAGCAATTTAATCACAACTTTGAAAACAGAAAAATAACACAAAATAAGAGATTCGGAGCCCATTACTGGTGCGGTGGTGCCCAACATACAGTTGTGTGCAATGTCGCTGTCTTCATGTCTCCAACCTTCATTGACTTGGATGACCTTCCCTGGACAATTATTTTTCAGAGGTAATCTGCAAATTCCGTAAACAAATTAGTGTTAGACCACTCTAGAATGAAGTAATTTAATTCATTGATTGAAGCTTGCTATTCTATGATCGTGTTGCTAGTATTATTGCTTAATCAAATTATATTCTACATTCGGATCTTTTGTTTCCGACAAGCAACCAATTAAGATCTTGGAAATTCTATGGTCTCTCATGTATTTAACCAAAAACTCATGACTAAGGTTTTTATTTAACCCCAAATGGTAAGTTATGTAAGATTTTGCAGTCCTCATAGTCAGTTATAAGCTATCAATGAAACTGAAGGCACCGAAACTCAACAGATTAAGATTAAGATGATAAAATCCAAAATGCAAGCAACTTAGGACCACCAATTCAGAAAAAAATTGATGTACCTCTTTCAGTGATAATTCCAGCAATCGACTTTTCCTCCCCTGGTTTAATCACCACCAGACCTCCAACATTGTGCTGACTCATCTGCATTTGGAAAAAAAAATAAGTGAAAAAAGAAAATAAAATTGAAAAATGTTCATAATCATATCTCATTTTCATCTTTCACATAAAAAATTATGAAAGCAAATATGAAGATTCACGGTGGGGCAATAGGGGGAAACAGGCAAACAAACAACACCTGAATAATTACAAAAAACACCACAAGAGCTTAAGCTTATTTATAACTGATTCCAGCTTATATAAAACTCCAAACACCCTTTGGTATCTCCTGCATACCTTATCGAAAACTCATCTTCATCGTACAATTTGTAACAGACAAATAAACGTCAACTCGTATTTTACCTAATTCAAAATCTCAAAAGATAATTGGAAAACAGAGATGCGCTTTACCGATTCCACGGCTTCATACACACTGTCATCAGTCGTGCACCAGAGCCAGGACCCATCCGCACTTCCCTTTGGCTTTCAGAACATCAGAAACTGTGGTTCTCTCGAAACCGTGCTCTTCCATACGGGCCACAGAGGTTGCTCTTGGAAATTTAGCAATCAAAGCAGCTCATTCATTCGACACTGAATGTATACTGAAAAAAATAAGAAAATGATATCGAGATTAAGCACACCAACACTGTGTTCTTCTCAAATCATGAACTTTTGCAAACACACACACACACAAACCATAACCTCAACCACCTACTGTCCAATCACAACAAACAGTCAATTTGGAGGCTACAAAGTAAGATCACAACAATAATTGTAAAAAAGAAGCAAAAAGATGAGAGCTTGAAGTAAGAGTTGAAGCTCCGTACAACAAAAAGGCAGTGCCTACCCAAGATTTCTTGGAGGATATTCCATAAACGTAGGCGACGGCGAGAGGCAATTGAAAAATAAGCAGACTCAAACAATCCCTAGGAAGAAGTGCGGCTTCTCGGTGACCAGGTAGTCGTCGTACCCCTGCCTGCCCCGCGGCCTATTTGTCGTCTGGGGGAGGGCGGCCCTCGACGGTGAGGGAAATCACCTCCTCGCCACTGAGGAGAACGAGGCCAAGGTTTATATCNTTTCTGAAATTTTTTATTAGAGAGAAAGCAAGAAAGGAGAGCGTTAACAGAATATGGATCCCAACAGAACCGGGGAACTCAACAATTCACCACAGCGCGATGCCAATCAAGAAGACGACGAATTCTTTAGCAACCTGGTGATGGAGTTTGATTTCGACAAGGAGCCAGAGTGGCAAGAGTGGAATTCACAGCAGCAGAATGAAATGGTTCCGACGTCCGACATTCAACCGCAAAGCATGCAGCCGCCATCGGCGGCGGAGTCTTCCGGTGCGACAGCCACTTTGGATCCTAACGGAACCGGGGGACTCTTTCCTGCGAGCGGCGGTCAAGAAAGCGTCTTTGCGACTGCGAGCCGTGCCGGCGAAAGTGGAGGCAGCCAAGATGTGCTCTTCGATGAGCTTCTTGACGACAATCAGCTTCTTGGCCACGACTGCCATCTTCACGGCGCCAACGCCGGCGATCTTGGCAATAAGGACGACTCATTGTTTCTCGGCCTGGAGCAGTATCAACCGCAGTCACCATCGGCGGCGGAGTTTGAGACTCTTCCTCACGTCCCTCCGGTGAATCAAGGTCCGACGGACAGGAAAGGAGCTAGGCTTATGCAGTTCATCCCGGACGGGAAATGCCGGCTGAAGACCTTTCAAAGGAGGAAGATGACCCTCGAAAAAAATGGCCGCGACCTGTCCACCTTCTGCGGAGTGGACATCGCAATGGTTGTGTTCGGGCCCGAAAAGGCCGGGCCCGAAATCTGGCCAAGTAAAGCTGACGGCGTCATTGATTTCTATATATTGGCGCGGGCCCAGAACAAGAATAAATCATATGATATGGCGGATTTCTTACTCGAAAAGGCTCTGCAAGCAGAAGACCAACTTAGGAAGGAGCGTGAAAAACGGAGACTGGCTCGTTACCCAATTCCCGGCGGGGAGGACTGGTACAATTCCAGGGAGGAAATTGGGCAATTTCTTGCGGCGAAAATTGAGGCTGTGAAGGCAAAGATGATCAAAGACTCTGTTGAAGCGATGAAGGGAAAGAAGAAGATTTGGGCCACTCAGCCGCATTTTGTTGCCAACCTGCCGTCGTCGGCAATTTCTGAGCCGGGCACTTCGGCGAGGGGTGAAACCTCGTCTCCGGCGAGTGTGCATGTTCATCTGACTGGAAACATGAACATCCATTCAATTTATGTGTATTTTTCCAGCTTGGGCACAATATCAGAGTTCTTCCTCTACCGACCATCTGAGAATGGTGTTTTCACCCGATTGAACATCACATATTTGTCTGCCGACGCACTGAAATTGGCTTTGGTGAAACAGGATGGACATATCCACGGTCAATCCCTAAATTGGCACGATGTCAATAGCTGTTCGGATGGATCGACTCCGACCAATCCGCTAGACTCTGACTTTCTGAATTCCGGTCGGACCGCCGCCGGAGGTGCACCGGAGACTCCGGCGAGTGGCATTGTGCATGTTGAGATAACTGCCATCACGGATCTCAACTCGATTCTGGTTTACTTCTCCGCTTTCGGAGCTATGCTGGATTTGACCCTCTACAAACCTGGTGAAAACTGTTGCTTCAGAAGCGCAGTGATTAATTACGTGTCTCCCCATAGTTCACAGCGGGTGATCAGCATGGGTTCTGGTCGACTGATCGACGGTACTTGGCAAGCAAGGGTACTGATCGGATGATTATAGGTCTTGTTCATTCTGTTTTCTTTTGTTTCTCGCCATCATATGAATGTCCCACGGGAAATTCTACCCGTCAGATTCGCCTCGTGTCAACCTCTTACCATATTTCATACCAACATTACAAATACTTTCTTGTCCATTTGAGGTTGTACATATTCACCCAACAACAACAACAACAACATGTACAACCTCAAATGGACAAGAAAGTATTTGTAATGTTGGTATGAAATATGGTAAGAGGTTGGCACGAGGCGAATCTGACGGGTAGAATTTCCCGTGGGACATTCATATGATGGCGAGAAACAAAAGAAAACAGAATGAACAAGACCTATAATCATCCGATCAGTACCCTTGCTTGCCAAGTACCGTCGATCAGTCGACCAGAACCCATGCTGATCACCCGCTGTGAACTATGGGGAGACACGTAATTAATCACTGCGCTTCTGAAGCAACAGTTTTCACCAGGTTTGTAGAGGGTCAAATCCAGCATAGCTCCGAAAGCAGAGTAACTGAGATACATGTAAGTTTGCAACATCATTACATACTGAATGCCACTTCTCTCAAACCAACCACCAATTTTAATCATTCTGGCAATCCAATCATCCCCCTAACAATACAACAAAAGTGTTCAACAAGTGCATCATCATCTGATCATC